AACTTAAAATATGTTTTTATTTATTTTAAGTAATCAAGTAGAATTGTTAAATTGTCCCACAGGGACAATTGGCCATGGCAAGTTGGCTGCAGTAGGTTGTCCCATTCCGCTTACAATTAGCAACCGAACAAATAACATTTTTTGTTCCATCCTCACTAAAATGTTACCTGTTTGCTTTTTGTTATTCAGGCAAGGAATAAAGTCAGGAGGGTGAAGACAATCTACGATTGCCAAGCAGATAACGACGATGAGCTTACGTTTGTGGAAGGTGAAATTATTATTGTAACAGGAGAGGAGGATCAGGAGTGGTGGGTAAGTATTTTCCCCCTACTTTTAAGAGTTAAATAAAATAAACTTTTGAGGATACAATACAGAACAGTACACAAGCAATATACAACAGGGACGCGGTGGCTCAGTGGCTAAGACGCTGAGCTTGTTGATCAGAAAGGTCAGCAGTTCGGCGGCTCAAATCCCTAGCGCCATGTAACGGAGTGAGCTCCCGTGACTTGCCCCAGCTTCTGCCAATCTAGCAGTTCGAAAGCAGGTAGAAAAATAGGAATCACCTTTGGTGGGAAGGTAACAGTGTTCAGTGAGCCTTCAGTGTTTAGTCATGCCGGCCACATGACCACGGAGGCGTCTTCGGACAGCAGTGGCTCTTCAGCTTTGAAACGGAGATGAGCATCGCCCCCTAGAGTCGGGAATGACTAGCACCTATGTGTGAGGGGAACCTTTACTTTTACCTTTACCTTATACAAATGGTCCTAATAAACAGCAATAATTGGGACCAGCGTTTCCATCACTAAGGGACATAGCCACAAAATGCAACATCACATGACCACCATGGAAATTCTGGCACTTTGGGCTGCTGTCGTTAAGTAAACTATGGGGGGGAGGGTTGTCATTAAGGGAGGATGTCACATGATCACTATTTTTGACCTCCTGCCGGTTTCCCTACTGATTTGCTTGTAGGAAGCTGTCAGGGCAGGTCAGAACTGACAATGGATAGCAATAGATTTATATACCGCTTTACAGTCCTCTCTAAGCGGGTTTACAGGGTCAGCCTATTGCCCCCAACAATCTGGGTTCTCATTTCACTGACCTCGGAAGGACGGAAGGCTGAGTCAGTCTTGAGCCTGGTGAGATTCGATCTGCCAAATTGCAGGCAGCTGGCAGGCAGCAGAAGTAGCCTGCAGTACTGCACTCTAACCACTGAGCCACGTGTATACTATGATGTTGTTAAGTTCAACGAATCATACAACCGTAATTGGCGGTTTTTACATTATTGCGTATGGAAAAAGAAACCTAAGGTTGGTTTCTTTTGGCTCCTGGAAATTTGACCTGAACCCAGTGGTGGATTACGACTGATACGCCCCGGTACAGGCGTACCGGATTCCGGTGCAGTGCTCCGGAGGGCCCGCCTGCCTGCCTACGCTCCTTACTGGTATTTGAGCTCTTCGGCGCTTCCACACATGCGCATGGAGCATACAGAGCCTGCGCAATGCTCCACCAAACAGCTGGAGCGTCGCAAGTGGTAAGTATGCATGCGCGCCCTGTGCATGTACTATATGTGTGGTGGACGCTGGGCCCTGTTTCACCGTACCAGTTGCACCGGCATCCGGAACCCACCACTGCCTGAACCCCATTATCAATATCTATGTCATCCAGTCATCCAGGTCATGATTGTCCCAGAGATGCTTTTTTTTTTCAAGAGGCAACTGGACTTTCTGGTTTTTCTTCAAAGAAGTTTCACTTCTCATCCTAGAAGTTCTTCAGGTCTGACTGGATGGTGGGGGTTTATATTCCTTGCAGACAGGAAATAGAAGGATTTAGATTCCTCACCGATGGGAAGTGGAAGGATTTATATTCCTTGTAGGCAGAAATGACCAGCTGTCTGCAAAGAACATAAATCCTTCCATTCCCCGCCATCCAGTCAGAGCTGAAGCATGAGAAGTGAAAAGTCTTCAAGGAAGACTTTTCGGGACACCCATTTTCCATACAATTTGTAATGTTTATTTTTGCCAAGCCTTGTAATTCCTCAACAGCTATGGCAAGACTGATTGTACAATGGGGCATAATCCACTTGACAACTTGTTCTCGCTCAGCAGCAGAAATGTTGGGCTGAATTGTGGTCGTAAGTCGAGGACTACCTGTACACAGTGGTAGATGCCTCTCAAACGCTACCTCCTCGCTTTTGTGGCTTATCGGCCACCAACCCCTCCAGCAGCCGAATCACAGGAGGAGGTGTGGGAGTCCAGGGTCAGCATCAAGGCAACTTGAGAACTCTGAGGGGGAAGAGGGAATGGAGCTGGCAGAGAGAGAGAGACAGAGAGAGAGACAGAGAGACAGAGAGAGACAGAGAGAGAAACAGAGAGAGACAGAGAGAGACAGAGAGAGACAGAGAGCGAGAGACAGAGAGAGACAGACAGACAGACACACAGAGAGAGAGAGAGACAGCGAGAGAGGGAGAGAAAGAGAGAGAGAGAGCCTGGGCCATCTGTCAGCCCTCAGATGGAGAGTCAACAGCCCCCAGGTGTGGAGGTGGCTGATGAAAAAGAGGAGGAACAGCTGGGTCCAGTGCCTGACGTGCTGAAGGCAGAGGAGAGGAGAGCAGTGGAAATCCATGGGCCGATCCTTGGGCCAGAAGAACCACTGCTGCCAATGAAGCCCCATCCTAGTTCTGGGGATAAAAGGCAGGCGGCGGAGATGAATATATGAGGCAGACAATTACTCATCTCCATGCCGGATGGGCTTGTTGGCCTGCATTGAGAGAGAAACTTGGGCGTGGCTGCTGGGGCTCCTTATAAAAGAATCTTTGAGTTAACATCAGAGGGTCTGTAGTATTTGGGAAGCTGGGTCAGAACACGAGCAAGAGCACCTCCTGCCAAATTACCCCTCACACCCTTGGGTTTTTATTTGCAGATCGGCCACATTGAAGGAAAGCCGGAACGGAAAGGCGTCTTCCCCGTCTCCTTCGTCCACATTTTATCAGACTAACTCCAGCCGGAAACCTTTTGAGTATTGCACATCATTCCTGCGAGTCAGGCTTTAAAGCACGAAGCGAGACAGCTGCTGCATCCCTGTAATTCTGTGCATAATTGTGGATATCGATGTATATATATATAAAACTGCTGTTAACCAGGCGAGAAGTCGGTCCTGCTCATACGAAGGGCTTGTCATACCTGTAATTGTATATAGAAGGCGTTCCTTTGCCATTGCCAGTATTATGGTCATTGTCGGAGCTGGCATGCCTTATTGGGTTGCTCAAGCCATCCTTGGCATCAAGCACTTAAGAAAACAAAAAAATCCGTCTGTGTGTATGAACTGCCAGCTTTCTAAATAAACTGTTAGTCCGATTCACTCCCGTTCAGCTGTACAGAATTTACCATCCTTAATAATACATCAGTATTCTCGGAAGTAGCTAGCTAGCACCGTTTCCTTTTTTTCCCCAAAGGAACGGCCGATGTCCGTCGCCGGCTACCCCACATGCACCGTGGACAGCTTGTGAAATCCCCCTTCCTTGGTATTCATTTAGAAATATATATGTGTGTGTGTGTATGTGTGTGTGTGTGTCCGATGTATCCATCCAACAGAAATAGGCACTAATGCTACAGGTAAAACCGGTAGGGTTTTTTTTAACGGTGCGTAGGCCACCTGTTCATGTTTGTATTCTGTAACTTTGGTCTTTGACCTCACCGGGCTCCATCTCAAAGTCTCCCAATAAAAACGATTCCCTTCTCGCAAAGGAAACCACGCAAGATTCCTGGCGGAAGGATTTCTTTCGGGGGGGGGGGGGTGTCTTGTTACAAAGTACATTCCTGCGTGCATGGCTGCTGCTTCGTATCTCTGCTTATCGTCTCCGTTCAGGCGGGAACTTAAAACATTTATCAGCTGTTGTCTTTTGGCTTCAAGCAGGGCAGTTTCGGGGGGCAATGATCTCTTTACCACTCAGATCGAAATATCTGCCGGTCTGCTGGATAACTAACATATTATTTGGACTATAAGACACACCGGAGTATAAGACGCAACAAGATTTTAAAGAGGTAAATTTGAAGAAAAAAAAAATTGCACTCCCGAACCCTCTGTACATCCACTTTTGCAAAGGGGGCGGGGTTTCAGAAGGCCAAAAATGCTGTATTCAGTGTAT